TTCCTTCCTTCCTTCCTTCCTTCCTTCCTTCCTTCCTTCCTTCCTTCCTTCTTTCCTTCCTTCTTTTTGACTGAGTTTTTATGCTCTCAATCTTCCTGCCCCAAGAATGATAGACATGGATCTTGGTGTTGTCCTCTACAATACTTTTACTGACTATGTTTGATCTCTAAAACTAGGTACTGTTGCTTATGGAAATACACTTGTGTGGGTGTGCGCACACACACACATGCACACATCACACACACACACACATAACACACAGCAATTTGCATACAACAGTGCTGCAGCAGTAGCAATGATATTGGTAGATATTGGCAGTCTCTTCCCAGATGATATGAAAAAGGGACCATTACATTTAAACGCCAGAAGTACTTCTGTGTGAAACAAAAGCAACAGTCTATAAATTCTACTTTTATTTACAGATGTGAAGGAGATGAATCCCAGAGGTGGATCTTTGAAATCGATGGCTGTATTTATTCTAAGGTAAGAACTCAGATAAGCCACAACTTTTATTCCAAAGAAAAGTTTTTTGATTTGTGTAAAATAAACTGTTTGAGAAAGAGATTCTGTATTTGTACAAATGACATTGCTCTCTGCTTTGAAATTCAAATTGTAGTTTAATTTCATTCAATGGTTGCCTTGGAGTTCTTGTTTAAATTTAGAACAAATTTTTTTGAAGTGAAAATTAATTTTCCATAATTCATTGACCCAGTACTTCAGAGTTTGTTTCTTTACACTTTAAGATAAGATTAGTTCAGTACCTGCTTGACTTTGGACTAGAGAATGTGCTGCCGTCTTTAGCAATAGAGTTTTACCCTCCTGTTCTGATGGGCCCCCTAGCGTGATGGTGAGAGCCTGTGTTCTGAGGGAAGACCCTGACCAACAACCTGGAGGAAGATGTACCCCGCGCTTGCGTGTGTGTGTTTTCATAGTCTAAGGTTTCGGGAAGCATTGTGCCCCTGCGTGGGGCAATTCTAGTTAAGCTACTTTTAAAAAATAGAGTTTGGGGCTGAAAAGACGGCTCAGCAGTTAAGAGCTTGTGCTGCTCTTGCAGAGGACCTTGATTGACTCCCTGTACCCATCTGACAGGCCCCTGGACCTCCAGCTCCAGGTAGACTTAAGATTTCTGTCCTACATAAGCAGCAGCTCTCTCTCTCTCTCTCTCTCTCTCTCTCTCTCTCTCTCTCTCTCTCACACACACACACACACACACACACCCAGTTGCACAGATAATCGAAAAGAAAGTTGAAGAATACTTTTCCAGAAGTTTATAGGTTTTCCCTATGGCTTTTAAAACCATCCTTAATTTTTGTTTCCCTGATTGTTAAGTTTGCTGAACACTTTTAAAAATACCCCTTAGTCATCAGTCGGTCTTACTTTCCATACCAGCAGGTGTGGCACAGAGGCAAGTTTCAGGTTCATTTCCCCTTTGTCTTTTGCTCCTCCAGTACATGTGCTTACGATTTTTATATGAAGCAGCCCCCAACAAAGATGCATTCGTCAAAGGCTTGATCCCCAAGTCAGTGGAGAGTTGACTAGAGCATTCTAATCTGGCTGTGATCCAATCAACTGATGGATCCACAAACAGATAAAATGAAACCAACGATTCGTGGAAACTGTGAGAGGCGGCTCCAGGGATGGGTACATGATTTTTATTTTGCAAGAGTGTAATACCCAACTCCACTCCACACCTTCTTGTTAATCCTGTGGTTCTAGAATCTACCACACCTTGAGATTTCTGCCTTAACCAGTGTCTTCTCTGGTCCTCTTTGCAAGTGTTTCCGACCTGATACAGGGTCGTCAGCTTTCCCCTGGCCCTTCAGTCTCGGGTTAGCAGTTGTGTATCGTGCTGGCCTTTCCCTCATCCCACTCATGCTTCTTTCTGGCTGTCACAGAGAGAATAACTTTGCTCTGTTATGCTCTTCAGCTATGACTCTCTGCCTCACCACAGGCCCAGAGACATGAACTAAAAGTATGAGCCTAAATTATTCTCTCAGGATGTCTCCAGTGTTGTGCCTGTGGTGGAAGTCTGTCCAACACATGCTCCAGTGCCTCTTCTGCCCCGTCCAGGGTACAACTTCTGACCTCATGGTGCCTTGGCCTCCACAGGAGCATATCCCTAGAAGGAGAATGATGCGGGCTTTCCTACTTAAAACACAAGTCAGTTTTAAGTTGGTTTGGATTTAAACTTAATTTCCAAGTGCAATCACTGATTTTTCTATAATTATTTTAAATTCACAGAAAAAAAAACTATTTACTAATGAAGTATTTCAGTTTTTGAAGCATTTGAAGTTCCAACTAGCTCCACATTTAGTTATATCTATTTCAGGATAAAATGGAGGGTAATTTGGTAATTATTTGCAGCTGGATCATAAATTGTGCTCATGCTATTTTTTTTTAAACATAGGATTGCTGCTATAGGATATTACAAACGTATCTTGGCTCCAACACCCTTTAGCTGTGTGGCCTTTGGCAAATCACTTAACCTTTCTGAGCTTCACATTCCTCATCTGCTAAGTGGAGATATTAATGCTAACACTGTGAGCATTTGGAGATATTAATGCACAGTGAGCATTTGGCACAGACCTGGCCTAGAACACTTTATTGGTAATTTGCAGCTAATAATGATAATAATAACAGACAAATTTAAATACATTTATTGCCTTTTTCTACATTGTTTACTTGGATAACTGTTTTTTTTAATGTCAACTATTTCTTTGCTCACTTACAAAAAGTAATAAGAGTACATTTCATCCATATTTAAATATTAATATTTAAACTTGAACATATACATAGGATAAAATGTACACTGAAACATTTAATCCAATGTAGTGGTAAGCAGGTAATTTTAGAAACATAGAAATAAGACAGAATCTGTACAGGGAAATATTGCCTTTGAGCATGTAAAAATTTAAAACTTAAAAATTAGAAACTTAAAAAATTAAAAAGCTAATAATAACTTAAGCAAAAATCAAATAAGGAAGCTGGGGATGGTGGCCCACACACTTAATACCAATACTGAGAAGACAGAGACAGGTGAATAACTGTAAGTTCAAAGTCAGCCTAGGCGACATAGGAAGTTCCGAGGCAGCCAGGGCTACACAAAGAGACTGCAGTTCAACAAAGCAAAAGCAAATAGTAAATAAGGAAATATGGAAAAGCCTTTGAAACATCAGCATCAGAGACTGAGATAATATCTTAATATATACATAAAGTCTGACATAAACAACAGAAAGGTGTTAAACCTTCAATAGAGAAAAGAAAAAGGGGCATGAAAACAAAACACACGACAAGAAAAATCATAAGAGCCAGACTATATGTAACACATACAGTCTCTTTAAGGAGTCAGCGACTGTCAGCCGGTGAGATAGGACATCCTTAGAGCAACATTAAACCTGGGATTGCCAGTCTGTTGGAGATATGGGGGCACTCACATGTTCCCCTCTGACTTACCTCCAAAGCTCAGGAACTTCAAAGAGCAAACATTCATTACTTCATGGTTTTAAGGACTGGGAATGTGTGGTGGCTTCACTGGGCATTATTATTATTAATAATTACCATCATTTTACACATATGAGAATAGTGCATACATATATGTCGGTGCACATCAGGCATGCCCGGTATCTACAGAAGCCAGAAGAGTCTGTTGAAACTGGATTTAAGATGGTTGTGAGCCACCTTGTGGGTGCTGAGAATCGAACCTGGGTATCTCGGGAAGAGTAGCCAGGGCACTTATTCGCCGAACCATCTCTTCAGTCCTTCGCTGGGTAGTTTTAACTCAGTTTCTCATGAGAATGGGCCCATATTTCAAGCATGAGCTTTAGACGTCTGTGACTAAACCGAGACCTGGAAGTCAGGTTCTGAGCCACTGCCGCCGCCCAGAGGGTTAGTCCAGGGCTGTGTGGCCTCCCGCTACAGCGCTATTCACAACAGGAGCTGCTGGAACAAGAAAAGAAGCTGCAAAGGGGAAACAAAAACTGGTGTCCGGTCATCTACCACCTCTGCCAAATTCTTTAGATAACTTACGCTGGCGAGCGAGAAAAAGGACTACACAAAGATTTGTATTCACCTTATTTCTGAGGGAGCGTTTGGCAACATTATCAAAATTATTATTTTAAAGCCCAACATTCCTTTTGATTTTGAATTCCCACTCGCGGATGCTCACCCTGAAGCGGGAGGCACACGGATGCGCTTTGAAGAATGTTCATCATGGCGTCCTTTAGAACAGTGAGAACTGACGCCGAGTAAATCTATGTAACAACGCTATGGGGCGTTGTTATCACGAGTGCTGAGTAGTTACATCACAGATCTGCAGGGTAATTTATGATGAGAGATGAAACTGCTAAGGGCACTATAAATGCGGGCCAGGGCCACGGCCACGAGGAATGAAACTAGGCTCGGATTGGAGGGGCCACAGAAGGACTTGAGGCCGTGACAATTTTATTGAGAGCAATCAGACTTTTCATACTTTTTTCAGAAACGGAATAAATGGCAATGCAGTTGTAGTTGCCAGGATGCAATGACGTTTGCAAGCTGTACAGGCCACACAAGATTAACGTCTAAGACCAATTGTCCTGTCAAGTTTTATGCTTCCTTCACTACTAAGGGAACAAACAGAGAAACACAAAGCTGCCTGAATGCTTCGCTGCCCCAGAGAGTGCGTTGGTCTCTCAGGGATTGGAAGGCACACTGTGCCCTGGGAGCTATGGATTCTAACCTGGAAAACCTATGAAGCATACCACTCAAGGCAGCCAGACCAGACCAACTCCATGGTTCCCTGCATGGCATAAGGCGGGAGATATGAGGTAAGGTGACCTAGGTGACTTACAGCATACCAAAGACATGTGTGAACAGGAAGAGCTCAAAACTGGAGCTGGATCTACAAAATGGCTGCTGGCATAATGATTATGTCTGTCTGCTTTCCTGTGTTCCTCATAGAGAACAGTCTTCCTGTCGCTCAGCACGCTCTCTGTGGCTGAAGTTCCATGTTCACGTGTAAGAAAGCAATAGCCTGTCTAAGAAAAAAGCCACATACTACAATCGGTGTGATATAAATCTCAAGGTAACATGAAAAAAAAAAAACTTTAAATGTTAAACTTCCTTGCTAATGTTTTAGGTGAACTTGGAGATTCAAGAGTGTTTTTCCAAGGTTGTGGGCATGTGGACTAGAGAATTTACTTAATTTTTTTTTTAACATTAAGTTGTATGAGAATAATATTTGTGTGCCACAGAGGTTGCTACAAGAACATTAACGCATATAGTCTCTTCACATTATTCTTTATTCTAGTTCTCAGAGCTATTTATATGCATATTCCCAGGAGTTATTATGTACTTATTTTCACACATTACAGGGTTCTCCTTTAAGTAGTAAGGATGGCATATGTTATTCTTCAAGAAAAACCTCCAGCAATTCAGAGCTGAATAAAATATAAATAAAAATATGAGCAAAAAGCATATGATGAAACATTTGCATTCAGCCATTTGGAATGGAGATAAGAAGATCAAGAGTTTAAGATCAGCTTCAACACAGCAGAAGTGAGGCTAACCTGGGCTACACGACACCCTGTCTCTAACAAACAAAAGGCAAAAATGCCTCTCCATCATATTATTCAAATATTATCATGGATATAATATAATTACTAATTAATTAGATAGAAACAGCATAACACACAGCTGTGTATATGATTTTGTGATCATAATTTTTTTGTTTGATAACTTCTTTTCTTGTTTACATCCATATCAATAAAATTTTTTAAAATGTACTAGATATACACATTTAAGCAGAAATGAGCAGTGATACTACAATGAACAAGTATATGTGTGTGTGTGTGTGTGTGTGTGTCTGTTAACTCACCTAACATTTTGACAGTCGTTGATGAATCCAACAGAGATTCTATTCACCATACTTTTAATTTGAATCTTTTTTTTTTTCTCATTTTTTTTCCTGTGTCTTTTTTCTTTCCTCTTTGGCTTACTTGTTTAACCAGTGGATTATTAATCTCTCCAGATGTGGCTCTTGGTATTTTTGTTCTTCACACTTTACAGAATGAAATAAGAACCTTGTGTAATAACTGAGAGAGCACACCTGGACACATGCAAAAGCATGTTCATTGCTTTCTGGATTTAGTAAGTAATCCAGGTAACATTGAGCTTGTCAGTGACTTTGCTGTGACTATCACTTCATCTTTAATAAAGGCACAATAATAGCAGCCATTTCAAAGGCTGTTGCATGGATGAAGATGTGGACATGCAGTCACATGGGGCACCCCTTTGATACAGTGATATCTCGGGGGCATAAAGTTATCCTAGAGCTCGTGGAAAAGCGAGATACACAAGCCAAATTAAAATCACTTTCTCCATCAACTTAAAACAAAATAAAATGGACAGGGAGAGAGATGAGTAGATGACGCCTATAAAATAACGTGCAGGTGGACCGAAGGGCCATAACCCCAAAGTCTTATTCTGTAGTGTACATACCCTTTATCTGAGATGCTTCACTCTTCCCTGAAGCTGAAAGCTTGTGCACCAGCTCACGTCAGTGGTGGTGTTCCCGATGAGCAGATGGCAGATGATCCCAAGTGAGGCTCAGCAGGGCACCCCATGTGTGGCTGGCTCAACAGCTCGTTCTTGTGTGTACCCTGTAGGCTGGTTTTCCATTTATATATCCAAAATGTTTGCTGGTATGGTTGTTGCCCCAATCAATCAATCAATCAATCAATCAATCAATCAATCAATCACAGCTCTTCAGTATCTGCATTGTCTTATCCTTTTCAGCCCGGGTTCATGGATCAATGCTCCTCGTCTGTGTCTGTGTGTAGACGACTCGTTTGCCTCCTCTTCTCACCGCTCTTTCATCCTCATTCTCTAGTGTCTCGACTGTTGTCGAACAGAACTGAGTACTGCCAAGCCAAGCAGCAACTGCACATTGTAACATACATACATGCATGTTCACTGTCATGTCTCAAGGACGGAAATGAAAATTGCGGCTGTCAGCATGTGTGATGTGTGCAAGCAGCGCTCATGTTGGCGTGGGGGTGTGTGCATACACGTGTGCAAGCGTGTGGAAGCTGGAGAACAGCTTTTGGTGCCAGCCCTCAGGAGCCACCCATCTTGCTTTTGAGATAAATTATCTCAGTGGCCTGGAGAAGAGGGGGAAGGATAGGCTGGCAGCCAGTGTGTTCCAGGGATGTGCCTGTCACCACCCCCCTCCTCTGTGCTGGGACTGCTAATATATACCACCATACCTCGGTTCTGGGGATCACCTGGGCCCTCACACTTGCAACTTTACCAAAAGAGACAGTCTTCCCAGTCCTAGATATTTTCATAGCTGTAGAAGCATAAAGATTACTCCTTAATTAAAAATTTCTCCAAATAGGCAAGCCAGCCAGCAAGCAAACAAAAACCAAAAAAATAAAACAAAAACAAAAACAAAAAAAAACAGTCAGCCAAAGTGATATGACCTAAACTACAAAATCTATTTGCTGGACCATTTTACTGCTGATTTATCTGCCTCAGTTTCCACATGTAATGTCGAAGGCTGGCTCACTATTTTTAATTTTTTTCTTTCTTTCTAGGCTAAGCCTCAGTTTTTCCTGACCCTACCTGGAGGATTTCACTGCTGAAGTGGATGTGAACCAGGCAGAGGACAGCATTCATCACAGACAGCCTGGACCACCGTTCATCAAGAACAGTGCAGATACTGTGTAGAAGAGGTCAGTGTGGTAGCCGGGGGCAAGACAGAAGACTACTTCTAAAATGTAATGTGGCTTGAAAAGAGAAAAAGTGTCCTAGCTGTTGTTTTCTGGAAACAAACCCGAATTCTCATGACAATGCTGCTCATTGTTCAAGTCACGTAATGGGATAACATTCTTTCTTTTTTTTTTTTTTTTAATGGCTTGCTTGTTTTCTGTTTTGAGTGTAAACATTTTCCCATCCTATTTCTACATGGACTGTCTGTGTGCCTCCTGCCTGTGGAGACCAGAACAGGGCACTGGGTCCCCGGGAACTGGAGTTATGGATAGTTGTAAGCCGCCATGATGGTGCTGAAAACCAAGCCCAGGCCCCCTGGAAGAACAGCCAGCGCTTTTAAGTGCCGAGCCATTTCTTCAGCCCATACTCCAGCCCATACACTCACAGGCACATTTACATTCATATAAAAATCAATGCTATTTATATAGACATCATTTCGTTAAGAAGATGGTGATGGCCTATCTTTCACACAGGATGGCTCCGTTTGTCCTGACCGTATACATGATCCCTTCTGTAGGAAAATGCAAAGAACCAGGAGCCTCTCAGTGTTACCTTTTGAGCACATGTGTTACAAATGTTTCCACTCAATGAAAATGAAGTCCACAGTGTCTATGTCTCATTACAAGGCTTTGCAGAAGCAAGCCAACAGTCCTTTACTGAAACAGCTGCGGGAGCCCTCCGACAGTCATGTCGTGCCAGACAGCTCTCTTGAGGAGACAGAGCAGCTGACTGGGCTGCTGCTGAAGAGACTGGAAGGGAAACACCCCAGGGCTCCTGCTCAAAGGTAGGACAGCAGCAGAGTGGAGCTTCTTTGCTCAATGACATTCGATGTTTTCCTTCAGTTTCCTGTAAGGACTGATTGCTTGAAGATTGTTGAAATATCTCAAAAGCCCCCTGGCTTTCAATCATATTAGTTTTGGGGTCATGTTTGATGAAGAGAGGTGACATTTATGTGTATTTTGTTGAAGACTGATGAATGTAGTCACTCATAACGACACTTAGGATGGGATGCTGTTAGAATCTCACCGAGGCACACAGAACTAACACGGAAAGCAAAGGCACTACCCAGCACTTGTACGTCTGTGTGAGAAGGGCGTGCACACAGACAGTCCCTTTGGTTTTCACTGGAGGAGTGCATTGTCCTTGCATCTGAGGGTAATAGATGGCCTTCCACAGGGACGCTTCGAACACTAATCATTTCCATGGCCAGAGGGAACATAGTACCCATGGTTTGCTAACAATTCCAAATTATCCCTGGTTGAAAAATGGAAACTACTTTTTATATTCTCCTCACTTGGCCTGAAACTGGTGTTTGTTATAGCCATTGGTTTATTGGTCTTGATGTTAACAATCACAAAATGACTTTATACGCTACAGTTTAAGTCTACACTTGTCTGAAATGACCACTCCACATGATCTTAAAGAAGTAAACACCATTTTCACACACACCGAATTAGCCTGGAGGTGTCCCTAACTTTAATTCAACAATTCAGATAGAAGTTTCATTTGTATTTGAAAGAGAAGGAAAACCTGGCAACTTTTTTAAACTGGAGGTTATTGTATACTCTTAAATTATATATTCCCATCTGAAGTGACTCTGAGGTTAATTGACTATTTATTATTTGGATGATGAGGTTCAGAAACAAATAACAGAATTACTATCTGACTCTCTCACTGCATGAGGGTTTCCTGGGTGGCATCAAAGTTTAGGTTCCAGGACAGTTCCTCTCTGATGCTTAGTTTTTAAGCATTCACAGGTTTCTCAACATTTGATGCTCTGTGGCATGAGTTCAGGCTCCAGCCATATGGCCTGGCCACTCTCCACAGCTTGGTGCCCTCTCGTGTCACTATGGTGAAAGCCCCCTGGGAACAGTCTTCAGTGTTTTCATCTACAAGGGGACCTCGGGCAGTACCAGGCCACTTAGGCCAGCTTTGATGCTGTTCTCTGAAGCTACCCACCATCTGCTTGTCCTCCTAGACTCACAGAGGCGAATCTTGGGTCTTTCCTGGCAGAGCCCTTGGATTTTATCATCCTGGCCTTAGTTCTTACTCTGGGCTCTAGAAGAACAGATTGCCTCTGCTTTCAGGTTCCTGTCACTCCCACAGAACTTCTGTTCTTCTTTCATGTTAATCCCGTCCCTGTGGTAGTTTACATACTTCCTATGTTTTCTGTCTCCCCAGGACAGAAGTATTTTCTCTGAGGGTGCAGGGCTACCACAGGTTAGGGAATGGCCATCTTTACTCTGTTATTGCTTTGTATTCTTGGAGGCAATTCAACCTGACAACTGAACATTGGAGAGGAGCATAGTTAAGGCACAAAGCATAGCATTAGCTAATACACTGTATTCAGGAATTGTTAAATTAGATAATTTTAAATGTCTAAGAAATCAGTAATGGCAGTTCTGAAAATGTTCTGGAAACAAGTAAAGACAAAAGAGTTTTAAACAAGCATTAAACAGTGGTTCTTGCTCATCCGTTGTCACAGTGTGAATCTCCTGTGTTCACTCAGGGCCCAAATATTTAAAGGAAAAAATTCCAGAAAGAACTAAGTCACAACTTCTATTGGATTAGGTTGTTCTATTTGTTGGTTGTTATTAATTTAATTTCTTATTATGACTAATTTTTAAATTAAACTTTAACATCTGTACCATATGTACGTATGTATGTCAGTGCAGAGAAACACTGATATCCAGTTCTTAGTTCTAAAGATGTATTTTTGTTTGTGTGATTGTGCATGTGTGTGCATGCATGTGTGTGTGTGCCTGTGTGTGTGCGCATATGAGTGTATGTGTTTACTTCAGTACAGTACCTACAGAGGCCAAAGGAAGGCAATGACTCCCTTGCAGCTGTAGTCAAAGGCAGTTGCGAGAGGCCCAATATGGGTTCAGAGTCATACTTGGGTCCTGTGGGGGAGCAGAGCAAGCCCTTAGATGCTGAGCATCTTTCTAACCTCAGAATATAACTCTATGTACTATCTGGAGCTCCTGTATTTAGACATGAAGTTTTTGTCCGTAAGAACTGACTGGTAAATATAGTTTCTTTCCCATAAGAAACTGCCTAGGGACCTTTTCTCCAGGGGCATCACTCAGAGCTTACCGCTTTCGTTCAAGAGGATTGAAGCACTTTCTTCCCGTCTCCCCTCACAGTTACCAGCAACAGGTACAGTTTCAGTTTATTTCTCTCTCTGTGTGTTCTTTATTACAATCCTTTTGACCTTTTGAATAAACAGCACATTATTTATAGCAATCACATTCCTCTCGTGTTGGAAGGAACTGTGGGGAAAAAATTAGGACGTGGTATAGAATTTGGTGTGTTGGTGACTTTGAATCCTAGATATTCTTGTTAGGTTTGTGTGTATGAGAATCAGTGTGTCATGTTGTGCTACATACATACATGATCTTCTTATCATCAACTTGATGAAAGCAAAGCTCACTGCAGATAATAAAGGAGTGAAATAAAACTTACCAACATTGTGAAAATGGGAAACGGAAAAGAACTAGGCGTGACGGAAGCTAGTTTCTATCCTCTAGAAGAAAGAAAGGAAAGTGGGAGTCACAGTGGCGCCGACTAGTGAAAAGAAAGGGAGATTGGTCCGTAATGGCAGATGATATATGAAATCAGTACAAGTAGCATTGGACTGTACAGAATGACAGCTGAGACCCTGTAACCTTATCAATCGCTGTGCGTGTGTTACCGTTCAGTGACTCATACCATAACACAGGGGATTTATCTGTATTTTACTGAGGAAAATGCCGAGACCAAGGAGGTTTAATTTTTTGAGTAAGGTTTCTCGGTAACTGTCCAAATCGTGTTCTTAGCATCTACCGTGAGCCGCTTGACCATCCATGGTCTTGTCATGGCAGTCATCCCATATCTCAGCCCTTTGGGTGAGAACTGGGTGTCTTGAAATGGGAAGTTTTCAATAATAAGGTATAGACATTTGGAAAGGAAAATTGAAAGGAGTAGTAAGATGCTTAGTTTTCCATGAAGACTAAATAAGAGGCAGAAAATGTCAAAGGAACCAAATTCCCGGCTTCCTGTTGCACGCACCTGTATCGATCAGTAGTCCACGTGTCCTATTTTCCAGAAGCCTGACTGTGAGTTAATTGATCTCGGTCTTTTTCTAGCAAAGTGACTGCAACTTGTCATAGACATTTCGTGCTTTACAGACTCAGCTTCGTCCATAAAGATGGGGTGCAAAGAAACTACTAGCTGTCCTTTGTTGAATCTGTACCATGTAACCACTGCTACTCTACATATTTATTCTTATAGCCTCAAGAGAGACCGATTTGCTCACTGATCTCTCAACTTGCTGATGTAACTGCTTTCGAAATCAATGAGGATACAGAGACAAATTCAAAGAATCTACATGTGCGCAGTTATGAGGCTAACAGAGAGGTAGGATTCAACCACAGGCCCCTGTGGAGCTCTAGACAGCCCTTCTCCTCACTACTTTATGTATGCCATCCCAATATGTGTATTATTTTTTAAAAAGTAGACTAAATTATTGATTATTGTTTGGTCTATTTTTTTGAATTTTTTTCTTGAATAAAAATTCATCCCCCAAACACACACCCACACCTCCACATAATCTAAAACAATAGCCAAGAACTATGTCCTTTCATCTTCGAGTCATTTGGAGTCATTCATATTTCCAAATCTCAGGAAGATGTTTGACTGTTGATCCTTTTTTTTCTGTTTTAACATGTGAAATAATCTTTTTTCTTGTTGAAAAAAAAAAAAGAATTCCCTTATCCTAAGAGATCTTGATGCAAGATCCTAGTTTATAGAGGATATATTTTCTCCTTTACCTTAGCTGACACCTTAGCAGCATAGTTTTGCATTGCATACACATTTGATTCCAAGTTTAATCCAAAGTAAAATAAATGCCATGGTTTCTTGCATCTTCAAGTACCTGGAATGTGTTTGTTTACATTAGCTTAGCCAAAGGACCCCCTTAACTGTATTTAGATTGAGTAGGAGGTGGAGAAAGAGTGGGGCAGCCAACAAAGCCCGCTGACCCAGCTTGTCGTCCAGTGACCTGTGAGAGGAGAATAATGAACTGTGAGTAGCTGTCATCCTAACTGTTTCTGACAGTGTGCCTTTGGGCACATCTGTGTCAGTGGCATTGGAAGGGCCTTTGTTCTTTTCCCACTGGTGACTCTGTGAGCAGTGAGGTCTTTGCTACTGTACTCATGAGCAGCCCCTTCCTTCCCAGGGAAGCGAGCAGCTGCCATGGACTGAACTGACATTTCTCCTCATGACTCAAGTTGGCATGCACTTCAGTCTTTGAAGAGACCAGACATTTAAAAGTCCTCTGATGATTTTCATTAAAATGTACTTTAATGTCTCGGCAACAAAAGGAGTGGGCTATAAAAATACATTTCGTGTCATTCTGATTTTATATTGATAAAGGTGAAGACAGACAGGTAGGCAGACGGGTGAGTAATTTGAAGGAAATATATCAAAATATTGACAGTTGTTACTGGGTTTTAAAATTGTATTTATAACATTTTCCTCCAAATTTAAGAATCAAATAAAATGTTTAAACAAATATAAAATATGTAAAAATCAACACAGGTTATGGAAAGCATTTTAAAATGGATGCTTGGTACATACTTTGCTGGGAAGAATATTTGGGCTGAAATACAAAAGTCTGTTCTACATTTTGTTTCACATTTTCCACTGACAATTAAAAAAATAAATAACGCAATAGTTTTATTTGAAAGTTAATGTAGTGCTTACAATTATTATAATCATTAGGAAATGTAATTTGCTAAGAAA